AATAAAAGCATTCCTCTCAAATCCAAGATTTACTTGACAAACAGAATCGATTGTAGGAAATATTACATACATACAAGTATCATACATGTACTGATGATAATATATGGTCTTTGCTGGTCGCGACCTTAGCATTTCTCCGACTCGTCTGGTACGGCGATATCAAGCGTCACGTAGGTCATGTCGTAGACTCCACCGATCTTATCCGCTGGTACGATGTAGTCACCAACGCGTTGGCACCCCTGCAATGGGAACTATTTAAATCGATCCCATAGTCTTTAGGGAGTGCTGCTAGTTACCGGAGCATGACGAGTATGGTACAGCATCGTCGCAAGATGTGGGGGTCACACATATTTGGTCGTTGTTGAAAGAGAGAAAGGGGGAGTCATATGTGACTTTTAGAGAAATTAGCCGTGCTAGGAAAAGATTTTTCCCACTTGTTCACTTTACGCGATTTCCCCCCCCCCTCCACTTGACTAGACAGCAAATTTTTGGGAAGATTACGAAAATTTTTCGAAATTTTCGGAAAATTCCTAGAAGAAAAGATAAGAAGCTGGGGGGAATCTTAAAAGTTTTCCCGTTTCACAATGGCGATGTTCCCCCCTCGTCGGGAAATTTTAGGGTGAAAAACTGGAAAATGTGGGAGATTGGTAGGTAGGTGTTGGGCATCCCGATGTTCTATCCTGATAACGAGCGCAACATAAGCGGAACTAAAACGTTCTAAGCGGTGGTCAAGAGATTTGAGTTGGGGGTGATGGCAGACAGTACGTCCACCATCTGGCCTTCCCTGCATAAATTCCATCGCGTGCTGTACCACCTTCGCGCAGAAACAGTCATCGGTCTTCTGGCATGAGTGTACTACAGAGAAGAGTCGCCATAAATGTGTCCAATATGGAGGCAAAATAAACCTCCCTTCCGACTTTATGTCTACCATCTTCATGATTAGCAACCTTTTTGCTTCGTGCCATACGTCCGGCCATTACTGTCAAGTCATTTTGCCACGCCGCTGCAGATCGGATGTTCTGGCCTTCTGAACCAAGTGGGGTGCAGAGTTCGGTTTTCAGGAAGAATCCAGGAGCCCCTCCCCCATCCCCTTGCCACCGTCACCCACCGGGAGACGTCTAAGCGAGCGTAACTTGCCACTCCGGGCGCGGCTAGTGGGTGCAAATTCTCTCAAATGGCATTGTTCTGCTGACTGGGATACCAGACTTCACATGGCACCATAGAGAGCTATAGGTACGTTTGGCTGTACAATTTCTGTTGCCGCCATCTACGATCTAGAGCATCGCCATTAGCGGGCGCGAGGTCGCATCGCGGTGAAATGCGATTGTCTTGTCACATACCCCTACCACATCCAACACGCAGTGTATAAGTGCAACTCACCGGCTTTGCCTTGCAAGGGTGATGGAGGCGAATGAAAGGCTCAATGGTGCCGACCTGAATCGAGTTCGTATAGTGACAAAGCAAAAAATTCGAGCATCACAGTTGCCAGATACGTGGCGGACACCAACCTCGTCTTCCTGTCCGTATAGTTCAAATTCGCCATCAGAGTTGGTATGCGTCTCAGCCAGAAGGTCGTTAGGGTTCACTGAAACGCGTTGAATTTCAATTAGGAGTTTTCAAAGCTTGGAAGACTCACAGGGCAACGGTATCAGCTGGCACTTTTTTGCTGCACCCTCTCATCGAGACGGTGTGAGGTGAGTCGCGAACTGTGGTGAGAAAGAAGACAAGGAAGATCGTAGGCGTGACCTGGTATTCCCACTAGTTTTTCAACGCGACTAACCCAGCTCCCATTGTACTAATCTCTTTAGAGTGCCGATAAGCTAAACTTAAAATGCTGAATAGCGGAAGCAACTAGTGCGCGTCCATACTTCACCTCTGGGTCGCTCCAATCGCGCGATCGACGCCATCCGATCGCTAGCGCCGATCGAGCGCGTCATCGCACATACGATTAGAGCGACTAACATAAGTCGCGAACTACGGGTGTGCTTCTAGAGACTATGGAACTCTTGGCACACACTGCGCAAGTGCACTGAAACCTTCTGCACCTCTCTAATACTGCACTGTGACAAGTAAAATCAATACTTAATGACAGAGATTCTGGCTCAAAAACTCACATGTGTCCTTGTCGTATAGCTCGACATGAACGTTTCCCATACGTTTCTTATTGCATACAGCAATACCTTTGACGGTCACATTCTGCATTGTAGCAGAAACAGATAGGTAGCAAGCAGCCGAGATGGCAAGGAGTACAAGGGATCGCATGTTCTGAACAGTTCCAGTAAGCAGTAGAAGTTGGTCGTGACAGAGCAGTTAGACGTGAGGAACTGTAGCAGATTAGACGTGAGCAGGGTCGCAATGCAAACAGTTCTGTCTGATTTTTCACTGGCCGTTCTTCAGAAAGTTTGGGTATTAGGGGGCAAAAAAATTAGGAAATGGCGCTGTTTTTAACGAGCGCCATTTCCTAATTTTGCAATAAAATCAAGGAACGGGCGCCAAAGTTAAGCCCTTTGTAGGTATGTTTTCCACCCTTCGGATTTTTCTCGGCATTATTACTGGGCTCATCTGAAAAACTGTCATGCACCTTGGATCCCCGCAAGTCAGTGTGCAGTCCTTTTGAATTCCAGCACGATTCTGGGCGGAAGTGGAACGCTTGGCCCACTCAAGAGAATCCAAGTGGTTTATTACTTGGTTCCATCGAGACAGCTTGATAAAGCCCGTTCATTGATAAGTGCGCTAGGGAAGGATGAAGTTTCCGCCCTAATTGCCTCCTTTTTGGAATGCGCCCTGCATCCTATTGCCTTCGACATTGCGGTGGCATTTGAATAATTTGGTCTATACAAATATCAGCCTACGCAAAGGTCTTTGTTTTCACCTTCCCAAATGAGGCCGGTGCCCACAGCCAAGAGGTTATGGAAGAATTGGAAGGACCGGAAGAGTCAACTCGGGATTGACTACTGCATGGCAAGATGGGTGAACAGGCCACTTGAACCAAATTACCTTGGCCCATAAATGAATCAGTGATTCTTAACTCTGAAGCGAATATGAAAAAGAAATTCGGAGGGTTCGATGAAAAAAGTAGCACAAGCGGAAACAGAAGGCTGCTGCTGCTTCCGCTCCAGAAGAAGGAGTTTAGTGAAGTAATGGCACGAGATCATAGATGAAAACCTGCTGGGAAGGTTGTGGTCCATGTACCTCTCGTTCGCCTCTTTTTATAGGCCTGAACAGAGTAGCGGCAGCTGCTCGATTATACTCGTTGTTGAGCTGTTGTTGTGCTCACTACATCCGATCATTGAGATCTCCCTAGGATCTCGACCAAAAAACATATGGTAAACAGCTAGCAACTTTACGATTATATTCGAGAAATTGAATGCATAATGTTTTTTCTGCGATTAAGAAACATTATTTTATAGTGAAGGGTTTTTCAGAAGAGGGCTTTAGTAAAGGAAGGCAGACTTTTTAGTAAACAAAATGCAGAAGAAGCGCAGTTTGGCTTAGAGGGGTATTTTGCACTTTTGCGCTTTCTGTCGACGTATCGAGCCATCAAGTAAATACCTGTAAATTCCTGTGACGCCACGAAGTACATACTGCTGAGTCGCTGCAACTCGTAGGACCCGTTTCTAGAGCGTCTCGCGACTTCAGGAGGTTTTGACATCCACCTTCCAGCGAAAACGATACCTGCCGTTCGAGCAGCATGAAATGGATGCACATTGCTACTTTCAGGGTCAAAGGTTCATTACGAGTAACCAGCGGGCAGGATTTTCCCCACATCAGGTCTTTAAACCTTCTGGCTCGTTCAGCTTGCTTGAACGTTAGGGATCCTTGTTATAATAGCGTTTCCTAAAAAATTTCTGTCGAATTTCCCGCTTACTGACAAGACTCGTGACGACTTCTCGTCCACATTTTCAGCACACCTATGATATGAAATTATTCCGAAATTAGGGAAACCGGTAGAAAGTTGGGAATTTTCAAGAAACTGGTAGGCAGAATGGGGAAAGGGGGTCGTATCAAGCAACCCCTTTTGGGGCGGACGTACGGACGCGAGCCAAATCCCCAGCTGTGATGTGCCCTGAACCAAAATAGTTAACTAATCTTATTTCTAGTGGCTCTTTCTCAGGCACAGCCCCAGAATGGTCAGGTCAGCGGAATCTACTCCGCTTATCAGCTCAACGCAAACTCATTTAGATTTAGGTATTCATCCCTCAGAAACTCGCACCCACTTTCCGAGCTGGTTACATTTCTCCATGATTTCCACCAACATACCCCAGTTATCATTTTTTTGTGTACACTTTTCCTTGTACGTTAGAGGTAGCGCCCGCGATCACTCGCCATCACACATAGCGGACTGGAGGTTCGCATGTAGATGACAAGGTTCCAAGTAACTGATAATGAAGGAAAAAGCAGAAAAAGGTATTTCAACCGCCTCAGATAAAATCCCACTCCGGTCCCAGTTTCTACGCGTCCGGTCACCTCCATCTCCAACATTACGCGCTCATCCGCACAGCCAATTCCCCGACAAAAACTCTACCACCGTACAAGTGACGATTTTCGTTCTGCAGCTTCATTTTTCACTGAAAGGTGGGCCTTGAAGGCGGAGTCTGGAGGCGGAGTCACTGGAAAAAGGAGGCGTCACTGAACCTATATTGCGCTATAGCGCCCCTCCCTTACAATTTTTTGCCGCGAAACCGGTACAAGGTTGTTCGTCGCGGACCACATCTAACCTCCTGACGCCATATTTTCAACTTCGATACCTGATCGCGGACCGTGCCTTTAAGACAACCTAGTCGCCTGTGGAATGCACTTTTATTACCTTGTAATTTGATAAATTATTTTCGATTACTACTGGTGTTCTGTTCGACGAGTGGGTTGTAACCGTTATCACGCTTTACAAATTCCACTTCTACTCAGCTTAGGAAAATCGTAATCTGTTCTGTTATGTATAGTTTAGTTCGCTGCGGACTGGTTGGGCGTGTCAGGCAGTATGAGTGTGCCAGCCGTCAAAGCCGTTCCCCTGCCTTCTTGTTGAAGCGCGCATGCGACAAAAAGTGGTAGAAAGCGAGTAATACGAACAATATGAAACAGTCATATCATATGCTCCTCATTTACCCCATTTCATTATCATCATATCTTGTGGAGAACGGGTTTGGCTACGCGCCAAACTCATCTCGCCTGACACGCCCAACCGTCCGCAGCGAACTACGCTGTAGTTCCGAGCCAACGCTCACATCATCTACCGTGGTCAAGTTCATGTAACGATAATTAAGCCACTACACTGCTCTTCGATAATGTTCATTCAAACATTAGATTCATGGACGATGTCGCATTATTAACAATAAAAGCATTCCTCTCAAATCCAGATTTACTTGACAAACAGAATCGATTGTAGGAAATATTTACATACATACAAGTATCATACATGTACTGATGATAATATATGGTCTTTGCTGGTCACGACCTTAGCATTTCTCCGACTCGTCTGGTACGGCGATATCAAGCGTCACGTAGGTCATGTCGTAGACTCCACCGATCTTATCCGCTGGTACGATGTAGTCACCAACGCGTTGGCACCCCTGCAATGGGAACTATTTAAATCGATCCCATAGTCTTTAGGGAGTGCTGCTAGTTACCGGAGCATGACGAGTATGGTACAGCATCGTCGCAAGATGTGGGGGTCACACATATTTGGTCGTTGTTGAAAGAGAGAAAGGGGGAGTCATATGTGACTTTTAGAGAAATTAGCCGTGCTAGGAAAAGATTTTTCCCACTTGTTCACTTTGCGCGATTTCCCCCCCCCCCTCCACTTGACTAGACAGCAAAATTTTTGGGAAAATTAAGAAAATTTTCGAAATTTTCGGAAAATTCCTAGAAGAAAAAGATAAGAAGCTGGGGGGAATCTTAAAAGTTTTCCCGTTTCACAATGGCGATGTTCCCCCCTCGTCGGGAAATTTTAGGGTGAAAAACTGGAAAATGTGGGAGATTGGTAGGTAGGTGTTGGGCATCCCGATGTTCTATCCTGATAACGAGCGCAACATAAGCGGAACTAAAACGTTCTGAGCGGTGGTCAAGAGATTTGAGTTGGGGGTGATGGCAGACAGTACGTCCACCATCTGGCCTTCCCTGCATAAATGCCACCGCGTGCTGTACCACCTTCGCGCGCAAAAACAGTTACCGGTCTTCTGGCATGAGTGTACTACAGAGAAGAGTCGCCATAAATGTGTCCAATATGGAGGCAAAATAAACCTCCCTTCCGACTTTATGTCTACCATCTTCATGATTAGCAACCTTTTTGCTTCGTGCCATACGTGCGGCCATTACTGTCAAGTCATTTTGCCACGCCGCTGCAGATCGGATGTTCTGGCCTTCTGAACCAAGTGGGGTGCAGAGTTCGGTTTTCAGGAAGAATCCAGGAGCCCCCCCCCCCATCCCCTTGCCACTGTCACCCACCGGGAGACGTCTAAGCGAGCGTAACTTGCCGCTCCGTGCGCGCGGCTAGTGGGTGCAAATTCTCTTAAATGGCATTGTTCTGCTGACTGGGATACCAGACTTCACATGGCACCATAGAGAGCTATAGGTACGTTTGGCTGTACAATTTCTGTTGCCGCCATCTACGATCTAGAGCATCGCCATTAGCGGGCGCGAGGTCGCATCGCGGTGAAATGCGATTGTCTTGTCACATACCCCTACCACATCCAACACGCAGTGTATAAGTGCAACTCACCGGCTTTGCCTTGCAAGGGTGATGGAGGCGAATGAAAGGCTCAATGGTGCCGACCTGAATCGAGTACGTATAGTGACAAAGCAAAAAATTCGAGCATCACAGTTGCCAGATCCGTGGCGGACACTAACCTCGTCTTCCTGTCCGTATAGTTCAAATTCGCCATCAGAGTTGGTATGCGTCTCAGCCAGAAGGTCGTTAGGGTTCACTGAAACGCGTTGTGTTTCAATTAAGGAGTTTTCGAAGCTTGGAAGACTCACAGGGCAACGGTATCAGCTGGCACTTTTTTGTCTGCACCCTCTCATCGAGACGGTGTGAGGTGAGTCGCGAACTGTGGTGAGAAAGAAGACAAGAAGATCGTAGGCGTGACCTGGTATTCCCACTAGTTTTTCAACGCGACTAACCCAGCTCCCATTGTACTATCGGATCTCTTTAGAGTGCCGATAAGCTAAACTTAAAATGCTGAATAACGGAAGCAACTAGTGCGCGTCCATACTTCACCTCTGGGTCGCTCCGATCGCGCGATCGACGCCATCCGATCGCTAGCGCC